GGCAATTCCCCAAAACAAAAAAGAAGGGCAAGTAGAATTTTTAAAAAAATGTTTTAAATTAATCCAAAAGAAAATGAGGGGGAACAAAACAACAGCACAAAATAAGATGGTAGGAATAAATCTAAATATAACAGTAAACAATCAGCACTAAACTCATCAGTTTAAGTTAAGATTAGATTAAAAATAATCCATTATGGGGCCGGCCGGGTGGCGTAGTGGTTAAGTTCCCATGCTCTGCTGTGGCGGCCGAGGGTTCGCTGATTCAGATCCCAGACGCACACTGATGCACCGCCTGTCAAGCCATGCTGTGTTGGCGTCCCATATAAAGTGGAGGAAGATGGGCACGATGTTAGCCCAGGGCCAGTCTTCCTCAGCAAAAAGAGGAGGATTGGCAGATGTCAGCTCAGGGCTACTCTTTCTCAAAACAAAACAAAACAAAAAAAAAAAAACAGCCCATTATACTACATGGTGTTTCTGAGACTCACTATAACACAGGGACTGAGGAAGATAAAATTACAAGGACAGTAAGAAATCTACTGGACACACTACGAGCAACTTCATGTCAATAAATCAAAAACTTAGTGAAAATGACAAATTCCCAGAAAAATGTAATACTAAAATGACCTAACTCTCGAGAGAACTAGAAAGATCAATAATTCTATAATCATTGAAAATCTAATCATAAAATTTTCTCACAAAAGAAATACAAAGTTGAGACGATTTTACAGGCAAGCTCTATCCAATTTTCAAGGAATACATAATTGAAATCGTCGTCTTCTCTCTTTTAAGAGAATAGGAAAACAAGAGAACAATCACTAACTTATTCTATAACCTGGATATCACAACCAGACAAGAGTAACACAAAAAAGGAAAACTATAGGCCAATTTCATTACTGTTCTAGAAATTTTAGCCAGGAAGCACTATAAGAACACCACCATCACAAATAAGTATATACATATTTTAAAATAATTTTTAAAATAAGAATGAATGGGGAAAGAAAAGAGCAAAACTGTCATTATTCACAGATGATACTGTCCACATAAAAGACCCCAAAACCCCACAAATTTAAAGTATAAGACTTCAGTAAAATGGCTGCATATAAGAGCAGTAATCAAAAATATAACTTCTTAGGTAAGGAAACAGAAAATCATATTTTTAAAAGTTATTTATAATAGAACATAAAGGATAAGGAAACTAGGAGTAAATCTAACAAAAGATGTGCAAAGCTTTATGAGGAAAAGTCTAAGAGGTTAAAGAACTAAATGGAGAGAGACACAATGTTCATGAATAGGGAGATTCAATATTATGAAGATGTTTCCACAAAGTGATTTGCTGTTTGACTACAAATGCAATTAAAGCCTCAACAGAATTCTTTTGGAAAAGTGACAAGTCAGTTCCAAAATTGCACAGAACAGAGGGCCAAAACACTCCTAATGAAACAGGCGGGGGGACTTGCTCAAATATCAAGACCCTGTAAAGCCACAGAAACGTACATGTTTGTTACTGGCGCTGGAATAAACAATAAACCAATGGAATAGAGAGATCACGAAACAAAAACCACACATACACAGAAGCTTACATGACAGAAGTGGAATGTGGATCAACGGGAAATGGATGAACCATTCATTAATGGGTTTTGTACAGTTGGCTGTATCGATAACTTAAAACAAAAAGTGAATTTGGACCCTTCTGTCACACCATATACATACTCACATACAATTCAATATAGACTAAAGATTTAAATGTAAAAAACAAAGCTTTATTTATAACTTTTAGAATATAGGAGAATGTCTTAAGGATTTCTTAAACAAAATACAAAAAGCACAAAACACAAAGGGAAAGGCTAATAAATTCAGACATTAAATTTAAAAATGTCTGCCTAAAATGCACAGCTTAATTCTAATCAAATGTCTAGACCTAACTTCCAGTTTACAGGAAACAGAGGCTACAGGACACCATCAAGATACCATCAAATAATTCCAGAATGTGGATCCTTCTACCAAGCAACTGGCTGAACTCTTCAATAAGTCAATGTCATAAAGAAGGGGGGAGGAGGTGGATGGGTGGGTAGGAAACTCTTCTAGATTGAGAGAATAAAATGACAAAAACAACATGCAATGCCTGAACCTTGATTCAGGCTGGGTTTAAAAACAAACCAACACCTAAAAATGACATTATTGGGACAATGAGGGAAATTTGAATATAGACTATATATCACATAATATTATGGAAATATTGTTAATTTTCTTAAGTGTGATAATAGTGTTGCGATTATGTAGGACACTTGCTTTTTAGCAAATGCAATGTGAAATACTGAAAGGTGAAATGTCATGATGTTTTCAAATTACTTTCAAATTGTTCAACAACAAAGTGTTATTAACTGTTAAATCTGGATGGTGAATATGGATGTTTGTTATGTTTTTGTGTGTTTCTATATCTGTTTGAAATTTTTCATATTAAAAAGTTGAGGGAGAACTTAAAACTTGTGCTCTTCCAAGGCCACCAATAGAAAGGTAAAAAAAAAAAAAAAAAAGCCACAAAAAAAAAAAAAAAAAATAAGCCACAAACCTCGAGGTGTCTGCAACATCTAATAGTAAAAATGGACTGGCATTCACAATCTATAAAAAAACTCCTTAAGGGAATCTGTAAGAAAAAGACAGCAATATAAACTGGGCAAAAGACATGAAACAAGCTTTTCAGAGAGCAATGAGGAATGAATATAGCACATATGGAAAGATGCTCAACCTCATCAGCATTTAGGAAATTCAAACAACGAGACTTCCACTCTGGCCAAAATGGAGTAACAGGGGCTGGACTTCCCTTCCCGAACATCTTGAACAACTCAACACCTGCACAAAATCTATACAACTGAGTTTTTCAGACACTGGACCACACAGCCAGGGCGGGCAGTGACTCCTGAGAGGAGGACGACAGACAAGAGCCCTACAGCTGCCTGAGCTCACCGCACAGAGACTCCAGGCTGCAGCACTAGGACAGGGGCATGATCCAAAACTTGCCTGGGCGTCTCCCTGGGTGGAGAAGCGAGGGCAGCGGGGTACTGGAGAGAAAGCTTCAGAGGAGAGTTCCAGATCACACAGGGTTCCCGAGTTTTCAGCTGAATACCAGTCAGCGTCTCCACGGGAGGAGACAACCCAAGGGTGGGAGGGAGCCACCAGAAAGGAACGGGTGGGACAATTCAGCGTTCACACAGGCTCAGAGGAGTCTTCCCAACAGCCGGCGTGGAGAAACCTCAAAACAGGCCAGGCACAGGGAAGATTATGCAGAAGGGCATTGTCTTGGTGGTGGCCAAATGAGCCCTAATTAAAGGCTGTTCTGGTCCTATCTCACTAAGCTTAAAAACAAGCTATGGGGCCGGCTCCGTGGCTTGGCGGTTAAGTGCGCGCGCTCTGATGCTGGCGGCCCGGGTTCGGATCCCGGGAGCGCCCCGAGGCACCACTTCTCCGTCCAACGTGAGGCCGAGTCCCACGTACAGCAACTAGAAGGATGTGAACCTATGACATACAACTATCTACTGGGGCTTTGGGGGGAAAAAACTGAATAAAAAAAAAAAAAAAAAAAAAAAAAAAAAACAAGCTATGAAAGGATCAGACCACTTCCAAGTAACTTAATTTTGTCCCAGAACAAAGCTCAGTGTATTTAAAGGAATATAACCAACTCCAGCACCCAACAATGTAAAATCCAAAAATTACCAGGTACGCAAACAAGGAACTTACAACCTGATAATGAGGGGAAAAAAGTAAATCAATAGAAACAGCCCAGAAATGACACAGATGATAGAATGGTCAAGTACATTAAAACAGCTATTATAAATATACTCCAGATGTTCAAAAAAAATAGAGAAAAGTATGAGCATGTTAAGGAAAGACAGAAGATATTGAAAAGACCCAAATGGAACTTCTAAAGATTAAAAATATAATGCCTGAGGTGAACAATACACTGGATGGGATTAACAGGAGATTAGATACTTTAGGAGAAAGGATTAATGAACTTGAGGACACAGCAATGGGAGGACACAGCAATGGAAACTATCCAATTTGGAACACAGAGAAAAGAGACAAAAAAAGCCAGGGGCCAGCTGGGTGGTGTAACGGTTAAGTTCACGCACTCCGCATCAGCAGCCCAGGGTTCATGGGTTGGGATCCTGGGCGCGGACCTACACGCCACTCATCAAGCCACGCTGTGGCAGCATCCCATATACAAAATAGAGGAGGATGGGCACAGATGTTTGCTCAGGACCAATCTTCCTCACCAAAAAAAACCCAAAACAAACAAAAAAATACCCAAACAGAGCACCAGCATGCTGTGACGCAATGTCAAGTGGCCTAACATCCAATTGGAGTCCCAGAGGGAAAGGAGTGAGAGGAGGAGAGAAAGAGAAAAAAAATAATTAAAGAAATAATAGCCAAAAATTTTCCAGATTTGATGAAAACCACATAACCACAGGTAAACAGCCCCAGCAGAAGAAAGATGAAAAAAACTACACCAAGCACATCATAATCAAATTCCTTAAAAGCAGTAATAAAGAGAAAACTTTAAAAGCAGCCAGAGAAAAAGAACACATTACATATAGAAGAACAAAGATGATAATAGTAGTCTTCTTGCTGGAAACCACAATAAGATACCACTTAACATCCACCAGACTGGCAAAATTAAAAAGTCTAAAATTAAGAAGTGTTGGAGATGATGTGAAACAAAGGCAACCCAGACAGTGCCCATAGAGGTATAACCTGGAGCAGCCACTGTGGAATATAACTGGGCATTACCTTGTAAAGACGAAGATATCCATACCACAAGACCAAGCGATATGACTCCTAGATACAGAATGTTCATAGCAGCACTGCTGGCAATAGCAAAACCAAAACAAGATAAACCCCACAAGTCTGTCAGCAGAAGAACAGACAAATTGTGGTCTATTCATAAAACTGTATAGCAATAAAAATGAATGACTCTCAAAAAATACTAAGCTGAAAAAAGCTAGTCACAGATGTAAACATACATTATACCATTTATATAAAATTCAAAAACATACAAAACTTAACATTCACTTAGGGATACATACATAATGTTGTAAAACTATAACAAGCAAGAGAATAACAAACACGAAATTTATAATAATTCCTTGAGAAGGAGAGGGCACGTGGGGGACTTCTAAAATGCAGGTAATATTCATTTGCTAAGCTGGCTGAATGGGTACACAGATAGTTATTATTCTTTTTACCTTATATATACATGTTTGTGTATTTTTGTAGGTATGAAATACTTCATTTAAAAAAAGAAGAGTGGAAAATGTGAAAGACTTTAAAAATGAAGACTACTATATACGTATAACAATAAAATTAGTGTAAAAAAGTATACAAAGAAAATGTTCAATTCTTTATTGTCTTTCTATGCCCTATACAGTCAATATTAATCTAAAAAGGCCAGACTCCTAGTGTGAAAAAAAAAAAATAAGCAGAGTCTTTGCTTTGACACAAAATCTGAATATCTGGTACTCTTAGTTAGACAAGGGTAAATCTGTTAGCCACTCATGTCTGATTCTTCATCCTTCATCTGCACTTAGATTTTTCTTTATCTTTGGACTTCTTGGGACTCCTGCTTCTGTCCCTTTTCTTACTCCTTTCTCGCTCGTAGGGATCTGCTTGGTATTTGGATTTGTGACTATTACTATAGTGGCCATCCCTTTCTCGAGATCGGCTACGACTTCGGTTTTGAGGTCGGTCTCTCTTTTCACTCTTCTGTTTCTCCCAACAGCTTTCTTCTTCTTCATAGTGACCAAACCCCATCTCCCTATAGATATCCTGTCAAAGGAATGGAGACAGTTACAAGTGAATCAGTAAAATCATCATTTTGTGGGCATTTGCCAATTAATAAAGCTTAGTCCACCATTAGCAAGCAGTCATAACAGCTCAAATTTGAACACTACCACTAATGCCAAGAATCTCATAAATTAAAAAGCAAAAATAATTCAGAAAAAGATTTAACCATTTTTCTTATCAATCGCATTGCTTTGTATCTACTATTTCATCTGAACTGAAGGAACAGACCCAAAAACGAGGGACTAAAATAGCCCAATTGAAATCAGAACAAGTCTTGAGAGCAAAATTGCAATCCTAAGAATTCTGGTGCTGTGTGGTCACCTTTCCACCTCCCCTTCTTCTACTCCCTCAAAATATGGTCCCATCACTGATCTGCAATGAAACTACTAAAATTCCCGTAAGAATCCTATAAAGAGGACGTCATTTAAATAACATAGCTGAAAGAGGTCTTAGACAATTCAACTAGTCTAAAAAGAAAACAGAAACTGTAGACTTTGATCTGAGTGACTATTTTTGAAGTGTTTATTTTATAACAGCTCCTCTCTAAATCTTCAAATCAATTTTCCTTGTTTAGACTAGGCTGATACATGTTTTCATTAAATTTTTGTATTTCTTAAAAATGAGTTATGAATAAAACACTGGAATAATCCATTGCCCAAGGACCATAAAGTGGGTACATTTAACTCTATTCTTAACAATTAAGTAGCAATAGTACTTTTCCCATATCGAAGAGGGCTAGTTACAACAATTCTACTTCTGCTTGTGTCCTATCCCTAATTAAAATGATTATCTCAGGCCCGCCCTGTGGCTTAGCGGTTAAGTGCGCGCGCTCCGCTGCTGGCGGCCCGGGTTCGGATCCCAGGCGCGCACCGACCCACCGCTTCTCCGGCCATGCTGAGGCCGCATCCCACATACAGCAACTAGAAGGATGTGCAGGGGCCGGCCCGGTGGCGCAAGTGGTTGAGTGCGCTGCGCTCCGCTGCGGCGGCCCGGGGTTCGCCGGTTCGGATGCCGGGCGCGCACCAATGCACTGCTTGTCGAGCCGTGCTGTGGTAGCGTCCCATATAAAGTGGAGGAAGATAGGCCCAGGGCCAGTCTTGCTCAGCAAAACGAGGAAGATTGGCATGGATGTTAGCTCAGGGCTGGTCCTCTTCAAAAAAAAAAAAAAAAAAAAAAAAGAAGGATGTGCAGCTATGACATGCAACTATCTACTGGGGCTTTGGGGGGAAAATAAATAAAATTATTAAAAAAAAATGATTATCTCAGCACATGGCTAAAATCTAAGGAGATGAGAGCCAATGCTCTTTCAAGAGACAGTTCATAAAATTCAACTTTCTTAAAAGATTTCCCACAGGAAAGACAAAATCCTCAGGACTGAACTCCCAAGGGTCCAATTCTATCACCATAGACATTATGACAGTAGCTGTAAATGTCAAGGTTTAAAATCCAGAGTGATAGACACCCATGATTAAGGGTTGGGTGTTAAGCAAATGATTCATAATTATTTCATATACTGTCTAGATACTATATATTACACCTGGCATAGAGATTACAGTATGTGAAAACAGATATAACATGATTGTTATAATCATAGTGTTTGTGGAATACAACATTATAAACTGATTCATGATTTCCCACACAATCCCAATAGTTCTTGTCATTCTATGAGTCCTAAAGGTAGAAAAATGAATATTTTAGTTTAACCCTTTAATATTTTCTAGCAAAATATGACATCCCAGATAACAGAATTTTTTGTGCTTCTATAACATATACAAAATGTAAATATCTATGTACTATTCTGTCTATACACCTAGTACTTATTTCTGTATTACTTGAGATGATAAACTTTTAAAATGGAGAGACTGTTAGCTGATGTATAACTCTATAAAATCTTCAGCACATTTAATAAACTTTTAAAATGGAGAGACTGTTAGCTGATGTGTAACTCTATAAAATATTCAGCACATTATTATACAAATAGGCACGTGCTTTGAGTGTTTCAAATAAGAGATAAAAGGTTATGCAGTACTTAATTCTTTGAAAATATTGAGGAAGCTGAAAATGTGAAATGGACTGAAACCTTAAAACCTCTCCTACTTAGAGCAGTTTTCAAAGCTACACAAACTCTGAAGTCGGGCAGCTCTAGGTTCAAATGGTCTTCACCATTTAGGAGATGTGTCCAACAAGAAACTCTTGAGGTTGGATTGATCAGGGAAGGTTTCATAGAGAAGTCAGGACCTAGGGTGAGCCTCAAAGAATGAGTGAGTTCAGGTTTGGACTGGCTGTGAGCAGGCTAACACAAGGAGGTAAGTGAAAACTGAAGAGCAAGGAAGACCTAGCACCGTGTGCATGAAAGAGAAAAGCTGAGGTGGCTGAAGGGAGCCATATGAGGACAGATCCTCTGACACAGTGCTAAGTGCTTCTGCAACACAATATCATCCTCACTCTGGAAACAAGGAGAGGGAGCCTCAAGGGATCTACACAGGTTGGAGATAACTATTTCATTGATCAGTTAATTGACATATAAAATTGAAAAGGAGGTGGAAGAGAACAATGGGGAAAAACACACACACACCTGACTGAATCAAAATAAATGCTCAAGTTCTAGCTCTCCCACTAAACTATAAAGCCCAGGGGCCTGTGGGGTCAGGATCCTCATATCTAAAGTGAGGGAAACGCATCAGACGAGCTCTAAGTCCTCTCCAGTACGGACTTTTAAAAATTCTATCATTTTGTACATTTAAGACACAAGACAAGATGATTAAACTAGCATGTGGCTAAAAAGGAAAGAAAAGGACACAATAAAATAGCCAATTGAAAGGAATCAACTTAACCTAGCCAGTGATTTCATGTAAAGCAGTCAAAAAAAAGTCTAATTTAACTAAAAGCTATCCGTGCTCAGGCCTCTGGGACTCAAGCAAAGATTTAGTTAAATCTAAATCACTAAAATAACATTAAATGACTAAAATGACAGCAAAAAGAGAGTCTCAAATTATAAGAACACAAAACACCTATGAAAACCACAGAGGATTACTGACAATCAGTATGAAGACTTCTCAGCCAAGCAACCACAGCTGAGGACTCATTTCCTGTAACCCCAGTAAAACCCAAACCTCAACAACACAGTAACCATCTTTGGAATTAAGACACAAGGTGGAAAAATTAAACAGAGAAGTTTTCGAACTGAACAGTAACGCTGTCACTCAACAAAAAACAAAGAACTTGAAGAAATAAGTTAAAACATTCTTAGGAAACTAGGCTCACCAAGCAAAATACCAACCAAGAGGAAAATTTTGAGCTATACCTGAAAATTACCTAGTGCTGAAAATTCCATTTAGTGATTATATTTTTGAGATTGAAATCAAAACGATAAAAATCAGAGTAATAGAAAAAATTTTGGCCCACTGAAATCTTAAATATGGATGTTTTATTAGAAAGAAAAGAAGAGAAAATTAGTACAGCTATCTATTACATAGCGCTATACTCTCCATCTCTGTCTTTGCTTGACATTCTCACCGTCCTGAGTTCCTTCTCACCTCTGCCTATTGAAGTCCTCCTCATCCACCAGGGCCCAGCTCAAACGTCCTCATGTGGTACAACAAAAAAGCAAGGGGCTGTAATGTAATGTGTTTTTCATTTAACTGAGAGCCAAAATGCAGGCTGGAAATGATTTCTTCTCTTCATAATCAATTTTCTTTGGGGAATTATTATTAACGTCTTAGAAAATGTATTGTTCAGGAAAGCTTTTGGGATGATCAAGTTAATTACGAGTGCTGTTTTTATTTCATATATACAATATGTAAGGGCATAGATATTTTTTAGGTCTTAAAACCTCAACAGGGGCTGGCCCGGTGGCATAGCGGTTAAGTGCGCGCTCCGCTGCGGCAGCCCGGAGTTCACAGGTTCGGATCTCTGGCACGCACCAACGCACCGCTTATCAAGCCATGCTGTAACAGCGTCCCATATAAAGTCGAAGAAGATGGGCACAGATCTTAGCTCAGGGCCAGTCTTCCTCAGCAAAACGAGGAGGATTGGCATCGGATATTAGCTCAGGGCTTATCTTCCTCACACACACACACAAAAAAAACACCTCAACAGCTCTAAGTGCTGTACATAATGCTTGGTGATAAATTAAAATGAAAAATGAGAAGAACTTTCTTAGTAGAACCACACT